CCCAAAATTGACCCTTGCCCTCCTCATTGGCTTAAGGATGCTGCTGAGCTAGTTGTCAAGAAGACGGACTCGAGGAATGCTGTGTGGATAGGCATCTTAATTAAACCATTGATGTTCACTTGATTAACGGCCTGTCACACGAGGACAACACCCAGGGAGATTCTTTAAAGGAAACCAAAGCTCTCTGCTGCAATGGGTGTAGATCCTGCTGCAAGATGGGACTGGCTGACAGTTCCTGTTGGACTTCCCCTTCTCCATCAGGACCCTATCTTCAGAAGAGCCCCTGCTGCAACAAAGCCTGCCTCCGGCTCCACCTTGCCTTGTCCCCTGCATTTTGTCTCTCTAAGGGCCTCTGAAGGGACCTTGCTCATGCCATTTGCCTCCATTTCTCCACTCCTCTACTCATTGCTCTCTTCCTTTGATTCCAGGTCTCTCTCTCTCTCTCTCTCAACTGCCAGTTCTATATCACTGGTGACTTTGGAGTGACCACATCTAATGGCTTTTGTAGTCTTCCTACCTGGTGGCTGAGCCACTCTCCTTTCTGAATCCCACCCCAATGTGGAGTAATCCTCTTGTACACTGTAAAGATTTGCTACTTGAATTGGTAAAATAAAACTGTATAGTTTTATATAGTAAGTATAGGTGTATAGTATACAGTAAAACTGTATAGTAAGTATAGGTGGGGCAACCAAACTAAGGATGATGGCAAGAGGAAGGGTGGAGTGAGGAGATGCCAGACAGATGCAGAGGGAGCAGGAGATGAATGTGCCATGCTAATAAAGGTACCACCATTCGGCAGAGCATAAAGAAGCAAAATGGGTTAACTTAAAATGTAAGAACTAGTTAGTAATAAGCCTGAGCTATCGGCTGAGCATTTATAAGTAATATTAAGCATCTGACTCGGTTCTTTGGGACCGGGTGGTCCAGACTGGAAACTTCCACCTACACTACCCTCTGTTCTGTGGCCTCCTCACCATGTCTGACTCTTCAGTCTCTCACTTTGCTCTGCTCCCACCCCAGTGTCTAGCTGTAATGCTGAAGCCCCCCTCCTTGAATATTGATCTCTGGATGCTTGATATCCTGTCCCCAGGGGAAGCCCATTGGTCACTGTGGCAGAGGCTGTAAGGCCTCCCAGGTGCAATCTGGCAAGCAGAAACTGATTTGCAGCCAAGTGGCCTTGGCACTGACCTTTCAGTACTGTGGTATTGCGTGGGGCTGTACTGTTGGCCTTGCATTCCGGGAGGAGCAGTTCTCAACCAGAGTAGCTTTTGACATTTGAGGCTACAGACCTTGAGGTACAGTTCCCTCTCTGGGCCTCTGCCCTATGGCCTTAAGCAAGCCAACACTATGATCTTTGTGATTCCAGAATGTTTTTTTCCATTTTGTTTTTCATCTTGTTTTGAAGTGTGTGTGTGTGTGTGTGTGTGTGTGTGTGTGTGTGTGTGTGTGTGTGTGTGTGTGTGTGTTTGGGG